CGTATGACATGCTGATGATAATTATTTACAAATAACAACTTTGAGAAATCGGGAATTCGACAATGCCCATTATAGCTCTTGGAATAATGTAACACGTCACGGAATTCACACTATTACTAATATTACGTTCGTACGATATGGTGATCGCCAAACAAATAGTAAAACCATATATATCAACAAATCATAACATAAACTTTTAACCTCTGCTAATAAAATCTCATTGGGTGTTTTTTTTGGAGAGGTGTGAAATTCCCATACGTCACGTTGGTCGCCACAATGGTTATATAAGCTTGACGAATTACAAGCAGTGTGCAAATTTATATGCCACCTGGCGGACTCCCGCTCTAGGATTCCCTCTTCCGAAGCTAGCAGCGGCCGTAAAATACAACCAACTAACAACAAGCAGTGTGAAGGACCACCAACTACCAGACGAATGGGTGCCTGTGCTTTCTGTGGAGGATTCTAAAATTCTAAAATTAACATAAGATAGAATTTCTGTAGGGAAATGACCTCTCCAACCGACACGATCTCCTCGCCTATCCTTCTTGATCTCCTGTCCGACCTGCCTGATCTTCTACCCCAACCGACTTGATCTCCTCGCCAATCCGCCTGATCTCCTCTACGACCTGCCTGGTCTCCTCGCCTATCCGCTTGATCTTCTGTACGACCTGCCTGATCTCTTACCCCAACCGACTTGATCTTCTCGCCTATCCGCCTGATCTCCTCGCCTATCCGTCTGATCTCCTGTCCAACCGTCCTGATCTCCCCCCTCCCCAATCTGTCTGACCTCCTCGTCTATCCGCCTGATCTCCTCGCCTATCCGTCTGATCTCCTGCCCAACCGCCCTGATCTCCTCGCTCCCCAATCTGTCTGACCTCCTCGTCTATCAGCCGTCTGATCTCCTCGCCTATCCGCCTGATCTCCTCGCCCATCCGCCTGATCTCCTCGCCAATCTGCCCGATCTCCTCCCCAACCTGTCTAACCTCCCTAGACGACCTAAATATAGACAACGCCATTTTCGTTTGAACTCGAACAATGAATATATATTGTGTATGCTCAAATTCCATCGTTGCATAGACATACTATAAATATAAGCCATTGAAAGCTGTGTGTATCCTTTATAGGTCCTAGCTAAACATAGAACATAAAGAAAGTTTACTTGAATTCTTTCAGTACGTTCAATACGAAATATTTTCATTTCAATTCATAATTAAAGAGGTATGTAAGTACACTTCAGTAAAACCTACTTATAATTTCAACTTTATGTGTCATTGAGCTATACAAGATCTGTATTGTACCATTCAAGTACATGATACCTTTGCTAGCCAGGTAAACGTCTAGAAAACCGAGAGGGCGTCTGCATAAAAAATATACACCACTGTTAACACCTAAATTAAATGGGTTTTAAAATCCCACTGTTCTACTTCAATATAGCTATTGGAGACAGGAATCAGGGTATCTTTAACGTACAGCGTGAATAATATACGTGGTCGATGAACTAGACATGCCAGGCCCGGCCATCCAGCACCTCTGGGACCGCAGGCTGGCAGATCCGAAGGAAATTTCTCAGTCCAATTAAAATCCAGACATTTTACTTCTAGAGAAATGCGTGTGTGACATATAGATTAAAGTAAAAACAACAGTTATCTATGATAATTTACCCACCACCCAACCCTAATCCGAACCATATGTTAAAGAAAATGCTTACAATCAATTTCTTTTATCTGTTGGTTCTACAATGGTGATGTCGCAGACAATGTTGGTGTCATCTGTATCGTTGGTTGTATATATCATTGTTTTTATTTTCCGTTATCATACATTGTCTATTTAATACTAACAAGATAATTTAAGTCTATTTGATACTAACAAGGTAATCTTAGTCTCTCTGATGCTAATAAGACAGCTTAAGTCTATTCGACATTAACAAGGTACTTTTAGTCTATTTAATACTAACATGGTGATTTTAGTCTATTTGATACTAATATGGCAACATTTGACACTAACAATGTACTTTAAACATACATTATGCAAGAGCTAAATCTGCCTATTGCAGGTCTTTTTTTAGGCATGAAATGTTATATAAATTATTAATTAGGCATTTATTTACAAAACAAGACCATAATCAACTCTCGATGGCATCGGATACTCGAGATTTTAACTAGATTAGAACGGTTCGCCATTTGAAAATTTAATTTAAATATGGGAAAGCGAGGCTACGTTACGAATATACTAGTGCCCTGGTTACCACAATTCACACATCTTGTCAAAACTACAAACAATGATAACTTGGCTCAGAATGAAGTAATTTGAATGGAATTTTCAATATTTTCATTTTACATTATCTATATTTTAACTATCATAGCAAGAATGGTCAACTCTTTATCTAAATCTTACATAATTTTTTTTTAGGTCAGATCACTGCGTTCATCCCTGAATGACTTCTACGTCGTTTTCACCAACAATTGCCATCCATCATAACGGATATTTGTCACTACGGAAACCCAGTAAAGTGTTACAACCTGCTATCAGTTGATTTATCCAGTTTATTTCAGATATTAATAACCAAATTTTATTGGTTGATAAGTGTGACGTTTGACTGCTCAAATGATTGGGGTCGATTTTGTGTAAACTCATTGTTTTTAAGAATCACAGATATTGCACGGTACAGATATTGCACGGTCCGGTTATTACAAGGTGCGGTTATTATACGGTCTGGATCGAGACTATTACTACTACTTATTATTATTAGTTACTAAATCAGAGACCTTAACCTTGATATAATACAAACACCAAAATTCAGAAACGTCAGACTTCCAAAATAATAATAATAATAATAGTACTAGAAACAAATTTAACGAAAACAATAGGGTTTAACATATGGTTCAATTTTAATTCAATAATCCCACGAGGTTTGGACAAGCGACCCCACTTCTTGTCACGTACAAACGGGGAATCAAAACCACGTGACTTATGACAGACCTAATGATCAAACGCGCACGCGTTAACTATTCGGTCTCCCACCCCCCATGGGCTAATGAAGACGGACGCCTGAAAAAATTCCAGGACAGAGGCGCTATGACTCCCTTACATTATTTCTCTTTCGAGTGGCCAGAGAATTTTTAACGTACTGCAAGGGGCGTAGTGGCCCATAATTTTGCGTAAGGAACAAGACCCCGCCCGGGCACCGAAACTCAATATTTATATGTGTGTGCGGGAGATGGAGTGGGATGGCATCCCCTCTCGGTGTCACCGGGTAATATTGGGCTGTGTGAAACATGCTATAGTATATCTGACCCACGGTATATGTTTGACACTGGTTGAGCATTATGATTATGATGTTGATTTTATGCCATTTGCGAAAGTGGGCGGAAAAACTCAAGGTGGCGCAAAAACTCAAAACCATGACACAAAGCTCGTCATTGCGTCCCTCTCACTCAGTCCCTGTCAGTGGCGGTGCCAGCCGCCGGTGGTTGGAGGGGCAAAGCTGGGGTAAAGTCCAAGGTTAAAGGGGCAAAGACACGAGCTTCAACTAGGGGTGGGAGGTGGGGACCCCAAGATATTTTTGAAAAACATGCTGCCGGAAATGCAGCCTGGCAGTATTTCATGCACTGATAGACGAGATGAATAGAGCTTACCAGATACCGCCTGTCACCACATCACTAGTTTATCCACCCGGAGAGGAAAGTGGCAAACGAACGGAGTCAGTGAATCAAAGTGAATGAATATTTTCGCCACGATATTTTGAGAAATAGACTGCCGGCCGGAAATGCAGTCTGGCAGTATTTCAGACACTGTCGTCGAGATAAATAGAGCTGACCAGTTACTGTTCGAACAGAGAGGGATGCGTCAAACGAACGGAGTGAGTGTATATATTTTCGACGCGTTGAACCTATACCCAAAAACTTTGAGGATCCTAAAAAGCACTTCTCAAGCGGTTCGCGTATTATTGTTTATAGTGGTTTACAGCAGGATGGGCTTGGTAAGAAATCACTAAGACTCTACAACATGTACGTCTATGACTGAGTCGGAATGTGAGATTTAATCACCAGAGAAGACATTGATCACCGTAACGTAGCACAAATTCTTTTTTTTATTTTCTAAAAATATTGGAGGGGCAAACAGATGGCAGACCAGATGTATGCCCCCACCACCCCTTGGTACCGTTATTAGTCCCTGCGCACTGCCAATGGTATACAAGGGACCTCGCTTTTCTCCCCATCAAAAACAAGTACACTGACAAATAGGAAGAACAAAAATAGGAAGACCAAAAGAAAAACAAGACTATGACAAACACGACAGCTTCACATAAAAATCATAACCAACTGAAACCAGATTTATAACAATTATATTTGTTTACCATAATAGATGGCGACCAGCTACCAATATTTTTATATATATAACAATAAAACATGTACGGTGGTCTTACTTTAGTGAAATTCGTAATTTAATGAAAAATCAAATTTGAGTATCAGGCTCGTAGACAGATTGAAAACATTTACCTCACAGACACAGATGAATATGTCACCTACTTTAATTCTAAAATAATTATGCGTCAGAGATAATTACTGAATATCACGTACTTTAATTCTAAAATAATTATGCGTCAGAGATAATTACTGAATGTTCTAAAATAATTACGTCACAGATAATTACTGAATATCACGTACTTTATTTCTAAAATAATTACGTCATAGATAATTACTGAATGTCACGTACTTAATGTTCTAAAATACTAAGATAAACAAATGTCAAAAATACGACTGCTGGCGTGATTTCAATATTTTTGATGCCAGAAACAACTCATAATGATCGTAAATACGAAAAGATTCGAAACGGACTCTAATGCAATATCTCTCTACGACCTTAATAACTATTATACAATCCAGACACCAGAGTTCCACGGCGACGCGTACACACATATCATCGGAATATAAAGATATATTTAAGTATATTGTTATAATATATCTATCAACAAAACAATGTTTTAACTGAATACATACTGCGTAGAATGTACCGCTATAGTCCTTCCAAACTGGTCAAATTTGTGGCAGATTTATCCCTTTTTAAATGACCCACGTCTCACCCGAAAATTTAAAATGGAGATGCTTTCGTTTCGGAAGAGTAAGTCCTTAAATTGTCAACCCTAAGAGTAGCTAGGTAGTATAATGGTGGTAAATAAATAATTAGGGATGGCACTCTACGTATATAATCGTAAATGAAATAGCGATACGGTTCAGCGACTAAAGGTCACAACAAGACTCGAGATTTGGGTTGTGTATATGTAGATATGCGTGGATAAGATATGACATATCAGTATACGTATATCGTAAGCTAGATAGACTTACGGTTGACTAGGCTAGAGATCACAAATAAGATACTCTGTTTTTCATTGGTTGTATGTATTTGACCCATAATGTCCTGGGTTTATGAAATGACCTTGACGAAAGCGGACCTAACAAAACAACCCAATCCTATCCATTAACCCGTATATCAATATAGTTTCCTAGTTTCTTAGAAAAAACAATAATGTTCTTTACTTCCTCCCGGATTATATTTTGTTTGTTTTGATGGGATACCTGTCAACTGTTGGTATGGTTGTTTTGTAGACTGTATAATCTGTAGGTGGTACACATGACTGTAGTCCTAATCTCTCTCTTGTTGGCTAATTTATTTCTAAGATAGCGCCAATTAGTCTAGAACGTATTGGACATCAGCCCGTTCTCTGTGATATCGTCAAGTTGGCAGCGAACGTAATAGATGCTACGATATTAACCCGTTCTCTGCGATATCACCAAGGTGACAGCAGACGTAATATACGCTAGGACAGTAACCTGTTCGTTCATTCACAGGGCTTAACGGCCGCTTCCACAGAGGGCTATGTCGCAGATAAGATATTAACAAGCCCTCTACCATCGAGAAACAATCAGGATCATTAATGGATTACAAAGCGATCAAGGCTGAGGTACGACGTGTGTCAAGCTCGAATGTCTAACTTATGGCGATATAAATACGGTTGGCTTCATTGGTTGGCATACATAATACATTAAGTAGATATGGAGGATCATATATCTGTATCCAGAGTCTAAATTGTTCGAATAGTTACATTTCACGGGATAAGATAGTATTCATAAAAAGAAATGAAATGAAATTGGGTGTGCTATGAGGGAAATTTTTCACGACCAGCGGCACTATGGCCTACTCTTATATCGAATTCCAACTGCTAAGGGATAGCGTTTTTCGTCCCATCCGAATGACTAGACAGCTGCCCTTGTCAGGCCATCCGTCCTGCGCCAATGACAAGGAGAAATCACGCCGGAAAATCCCGAAGAACTTTCTCGACATACCCTTATCATGTATTTTTGAAAGAGCATATTCAATTTTTAATGCTCTTGGTAATGAATGAATTTTGTGGAATCGTGCACACAAATCCAATATTACCCCACCTTGTCATGTCCCGACTCCCGTCTTAGCCCACCCTTTCCATATCTCGACTCTGATCTTATCCCACCGTGTCCAAATCACAACCCCTTACTTATCTTAACCTGTCATTATCCCGATTTCGATATCACCCCACTATGTCCAAATCCTGACCTCGTTCTTATCCCACCCTGCCCATATGTCGACGCCGATTTTACCCCCCCCCCCCCCCTGTCAATATGTCCATATACCGACTTTGATCTCACCCCACTATGTCCAAATCTTGACCTCGTTCTTATCCCACCCTGCCCATATGTCGACGCCGATTTTACCCCCCCCCCCCCTGTCAATATGTCCATATACCGACTTTGATCTCACCCCACTATATCCAAATCCTGACCTCGTTCTTATCCCACCCTGCCCATATGTCGATGCCGATTTTACCACCCCCACCCCCCCCCGTCAATATGTCCATATACCGACTTTGATCTCATCCCACCCTGACAATATCTGAACTTAGATCTTACTATGGCTGCTATCATTACATATTAGTTTTCTCTATCCTAACTGACTGGTTGTAAACTGCTGTACATTGGGCAGTGTATGCAAACATTCGCATCACCCGAAACCTCTTTTATAAAGCGGGTGTTCGGTATTTCATACGTCTTTTTCACTAACTCACCAGTTGTACGTGAGAAAGAGTAGGGTCGTCTGTCCAACCTTGAGGGCTTTCTCCGGGTCCTTCGGTTTCCCTCCACTGCTAAAGTAAAGACCCCTATGCGCAAGCGAATTATTGAAATAAAAATGAACCATATGTTACTCGCGAAATGAACTAGTTTGTTTCAAGTAGGACGTTAAACCCCATCTCTCCCTCTCTCTCTCTCTCTCTCTCTCTCTTTTCACTAACTATAGGATATGATCAGCTGAACCCGTTAGTAATGTTCACTTCCTTGTTTCATTATCAACAAGGAACTATATGAAGAGAGGATAAACGATATCCTGTATTTCCAGTCGGCGCAAGCTGATAGTACTAAACGACCTTCACCTTTCTAGATTCAAACAGGAAACAGTTTAGTATATGATAGACAGAACCCGTTATGCCCATCCCCAAGTGCAGAGTAAGAAACCTTCCCTTTAACCAACAAGGAAACATTTTAGGATATCATCAATTGAACCCAATCCCCAGACTGACAGCAATCTCCACTTTCATAGAATCAATGAGGGTTTTAAGATATTATCAATTAAACCATGCATTTATGTCCAACCCCATGTTTAGTAGAATACGCAACCTTCCATTTTGCATACTAGGAAAATGTTTAGGTTAGAATCGACCATCCCCAGGCTAACAATAAGCAACATTCCTGTTCCACCGGGATGTAACTGACTGAAACCTGTACCTCCATCCCAGGCTAAGAGCAAATAATCTTCAATTAACGAGGAAACATTTTATTCAATCAGTTCATTACCGGCGGGGGGGGGGGGGGAGGGGCGAATGGTTAGCACGTGTGCGTTGTATCATAAAGTCTGTCATTGAATAAACTGGCGTGGTTTCGTTTCCTCGGTCGTATGTGATAAGGAGTAGGGTCGCCTGTCCAACCTCGTGGGTTTTCTCTGGGTCCTTCCAATTTCCCACTACTGTTAAAATTGAACCATATAGTTTGTGTCAAGTGGACGTTAAACCCCATCTCTCTCTCTCTCTCTCTCTCTCTCTCACACCGTTTTTAATACCTTAAATAACTATCCAAAGTTTTAGGGAAGACCCCAGGGCTGTCATGTTACTGTACTTGGGATAGATTTGATTGAACGGGAAGAATAGACACACTGCCGCAAAAGCTCAAGTATCAGAAGCCAACCCAGCAATGGCCAGAGAGGGATTTTTTCGGGTCATTGCTTCAGGAATATGGTTCATTACCGACAAAGGGGCTTGACTAATGTTTTGTATTCTCCAAATAAATTTAATGCGTAGTAAATACAAATACTGTTGACACATGTAATAAATTAAATCATAAGGGGTCATCAGGTCGTATGAATAATTTTTCAGGATCCTGCATCTGTCGGTTTATTTTTGCTCATCGGTGAGTAAGACCTTGGCTCGTTAACTTGGAGGTTCCATGTTCGATCCCTGTGTTGACCGAGAAAGTTCATCGGGATATTCCGGCCGGGTTCCCCATTGTCAGTTGTGCAGAACAGAGAGTTTGACGAGGGGCAGCGTATAGTCGTTCGGATTTTACGAATAACTGAGAAAGTTCATCAGTTGGAATTCGTTATAAGAGTAGGCCGTAGCGCCGCTGACCGAACAAAATTTCCTTATAGCACACTGTATGGCGCATGTTTGTCTTCATTAGCCCAGTCGGAACAGAGAAATAGGACGTTAAACCCTATTTCATTCTTTAAGAATTCTCAACACAACTTTTTTCTGAATAAAGGGCCTACTACGGCCTACTTTTTTTCAGATGTCAACTGCGAATTGGGTTTATTTTAAATGCAAAATTTCCCCTATAGCACATTGCGTACGCTCGTCTTCGTTAGCCCAATCGGTGACGGAGGCAGGACTATAAACTCCATTTCAGTTCATTTCAATTTAGCGGTTGTTGGATGGCCGAATGGTTAGCACGTGCGCGCTGTATCAGAAGGTCTGTCAACTGGCGTGGTTTCGATTTCCCGGTTGTACATGACAAGGAGTAGGGTCGCCTGTCCAACCTCGTGGGTTTTCTCCGAGTACTCCGGTTTCCTCCCACTCCCAAAGACTCCTACGCGAAAGCGAATTATTGAAATAAAATTGAACCATATGTTAGTCCCGAAATGACCTAGTCTGTGTCGAGTGGACGTAACTCTCTCTCTCTCTCTCTCTCTCTCTCTCTCTCTCTCTATTTCAATTTATAGAAAAGGCTATGATGAGGTTATGTTGATGTTTAGTGTTTCAATCTGTTAATGACCTGATCTCCTTGCCTTTAGCAATAATAAAAGGACAGATTGAAAATTGCCGCGTTCCTATCCGATGACTAACCATCTTGTGGTTTGTGTTTACAAATATTTTCGTTTATAATTTCTCCGTGAATATGTGTCTAATGAAATCATTTCCTTATTGATTCAGATTTGACTTTCTTGATCTAGCGTTCATTCAGAACAGCTACCGTTTAAATGTCTGTAATATGCACGAGACTTTAGCACGAGAGAGGGAGAGATATTATAAGTGTGTGCACGAGAGAGGGAGAGAGTGATTTTGTGTGAGGTTGGGGTGGATGGGTGGGTGGATGGGTTTGTAACATCAGAGCTAGTAGGGGGTGGGGGCAGACTGACGTATGCATGGTGTATGGTCGTCTTTATTTCGTGATATAAGTCAAAGTATAAAAGGACCATCTTATAACCTATTATTTTACTGTCATAGAAATTAATGGAATATACACACCGTCCATCGTTAAACCCCATATCATTTCGTTTAGGTGAATACACAAAACGTAGGATGGTAAAACTCATTTCATTTCATTTAAATCAATAAAAAACGGCTTCATTATTCAAAAATTAATTTCATTTCAAGGGAGGTAATCCACGTAATTATAGGGTTCAGGGACCTTGTTGATGGCATGGAATGACATTGGGATCAACGTCCTACTGTCGGCACCAACCAAGTTTATGACGACGGGCCATTGCGGACATCTTTACCCGGGCAGTGGCCTACTCTTATATCTAAATGTACATCCGAAGAAATAGACGTTGACCAGGGGAAACCACGACAGAAAATCCTTAGTTATTTTCTCGGAACCTGGTTCGATCCCTGCATTG